GAAATTTATAAGTGACAATAGCCAGGTAAATGTCTCTTTCTGCCCACCACTGTCTTCTATATTCCCTTTGTCCTCAGCAGATTTAAGCTTGACCAGAGGTAGACTAGTGATAATGTGATCCTATACATCACAGTACACATATGTAAGCATTCTTATGATGCTCCACTTAGAACAAGGGCCGTGGGGCCACCAAGATGACAAGCATGTAAAGCACCCCAAAGCCTGGTGATCTGAGCTCAAGCCCCAGTTCAAGCTCCTTCCACCTGGTGGGAGGAAAGAACCAGCTCCCACAAGTTGTCCTCTGATGGGCACAGATATTCTCTGGTATATGTACATATGTGTAGACCCCTTTCACATGCATGCCTCCACATTCCCTTCTACCCCCAACACACACTGAATCAATAAATACAACCCACTGCATATAGCTGTTTTTAGGTGATTTGGTGCTCTTTGCCTTTGTTAGAATTCAGTCGAAATGAAGTCAGAACTTCAACCGGGGATGGTGTGATTCCTAGGGAAAGAGCTGCTCACTGGCCCCTGAATTCCTACCCACCACTCACAGGTGCGTCAGATGGGTATTGATTCTGATGAAAGGTGAGGGTTCTAGGAGGCAGTAAAAATAGCTGATGGGCTGATGAGGAGTTGAAAGACAAGAAAAGGGAATGCAGGGCATTAGGGCAATTTGCTCTCAACTATTAATCTGAAGTTCAAAGAAAAAGATCCCATCACAGTGCCCCCAGTGAGGATGGAGTAATTACATGTCTCCTTGCCTGGGATGCAGAGCAGATCTGGGTCTGTGTGACACTTGTCACCAGGGAGATGATGCAGGTGCTGACTGAGCGAGAACCTCTGCAGACTCCCCATGAAAAGACTTTGGCTCCTTCCAACATCACTGAAGAGATGATGGCAGTGTGCGAGGGCAAACATGGAGAGCAAGGCTCTAATGACACATGGCTTCACACCTCAACCTCTGTGGTTCTTCTCATGGCACTTGTCCAAGTCCTCTACTGGAGGCTCAGGATCAGCAGACTTCCCTGAAGGCTTTCACAAAACTGCCAGCCAAGCAGCCCCAGTGTGCGAGCGTGAGGAGTTGTTCATCCTCCTGAAGTCACAGATAAGGGCAGGCTCGTTGTACATCCTGGGTTTTAAGTGTTCCAGAGTAGTGCTTAGAAATCATTACACTAACCTGAAAACTCACATCACTAAGAGAGCCTCTTGACTCAAGTGACATTACAGGGATCCATAGCAGGGCCAAAACTTCAGTTACAACCATCTGTACTTGAGAGTTGAGAGACCTACCTCATCCCAGGCCAATGACTTTTCTGGCTTGAAGGAGAGCTAAGTTTGATAGGACTAGATATGTGACTTGATGAGGCAGAAACTGGATGGTTGATTGTGTGGTTGTCACTTGTCCCACATTGTGGGTGCCTTGAAGATGCTATCTGTGTCTGCAGGTGCACTGTCCAGTAGCAGGTTTTCAGACCTGGGGACGAGAGCTTTCAGGACAACAACTCGGAGTTGGGAGTTGGGAGAAACTCATTGGCTCCCAGTGTCTTGCTGTCAGTTGCCCTAGCAGAGCTGCACTGGGAAACAAGAACATCAGTAAGCACTGAGCAGGATTGTGAGAAAGATGGAGAGGAAACTTCCTGGTTTAGAAGTATAGGAAGATGCCCATTGCCCCCCACAGATAAGGTCTGAAGACTTGTGATAGTTTGAATTTTGGCTCTAACACAACACAGAAGAAACTGAAAGGGTGTAGGTTGGCTTAAAGGAGGACAGAAGATGGGACTACAGGAGGATGCTGGGAGATGTAGAAGAGGTAGCATGGTGGCTCATGTGTCCATGAGGTGTTGGGTATCCATGAAGTTGAACACCACATGTTGAAGTAGCCATGGGGCTGCTGGCATGGAGGTGAGTTGTCAGTGTCATCGAGTGGACCCTGGAATCAGACAGTGAAGCAGCCAGTGATGGAAAGACATCCAATGACAGTGTCAGGGTGGAAGTGAGAATGGGGTAGAGGACTAGGTGCTGGCACTGTTTAAGATGGGGGACTGGACATGACCGGTGGAGGGCCAGGGTCAGTGGACTAAGAAACAAAAGGCTAAGAAGAGGGTCTGCAGGGAAAGAAGTAGCTTGTAGAGTAGGGAGAATGGGATTGAGGTTGCAAGAATTTGATTTTCAAATGAGGGGGGACATATGTCTCATTTGAATACATGGAAAAGAAGATGAAGTTAGCTAAAGCACATGCATCTGCTTAGAGAAAAGCTGGCAAACTTGTGTAGCTTGTATCTGGTAAGCCAGGCCATCATCTCATGTGCTGGGGGTTTATAGAAGTTTCCTTTTCAGAAAGTGAAGCAGACCCTTTTGGGGGTCCCTGGAGAAGAGTTGATGGGAGTGGTTGATGGGGGAACACATGAAACTGACAGGTTTCCTCTGACCTCTGGGATCACTCATTGTAGCGTCTTATCAAGATGTGCAGTTAGCGAAGCCACACCTTGCTTAGTGGCTCCCAAACACCAAGCTCAGGCAGTGACCTAGCCAAATGCCAGTTCTTCATATGTGGGACCTTTGAGGAGACACAAAATCCTCAGGTATTTAGTTAATAAACTGGTGTCTCCTGTAGTGCTGGCAGGAGGAAGAAGCAGCTAGAAGTGGCCTGTGAAGAAGAGCGGACAGGTGGGTAGTGTCAACAGGGTCTGAGATTTGAAGAGATTACCTTCACAAGGGTTTCTCATAATCAATGCCCCTGGGTTTCTGACAGTACTGAATTCACAGCCATTCTCAGAATTCACATCTGTTCTCAGAAGTCTCTTTCATTTGATATTGATACGTTTGACAGCAGTTCTGTGGAGCATTTTGATAGTCTTGGTTTAACTCACAAGGAGCTCAAGGTCAAACCTCAGCAAGCTAGAACCTGCTTTCCCAAGGGTGCATTGAATAGGTCACTACAGACTTGGTAGACAAAGGCCAAATCCCTCCTAAGTCTGCCCTCCATTTTCCTAGGTGCAGCCTGGTCCAGAGAGGCAGGCTGGGCTGCAGGTACTGAGGTGGTGGGGTAGGCTTGATATAAAGGAAGTCCTGCCTGCAACCCAGGGGTGTTTGCCTTAGGAGGAGGCAGACACAGTCAAGAAAGGTTGCAGAGGACATATGAGAGCAGGGAAGCAGGGGAATCCCAGCCTAGGTGTCTGCTCTGAGAGATGGTATGATAGAGAGATCAAGGTAAGGAAACCTGGGGAGGCTGGAAGGTGGGACCCAGGCTGTTGGAAGTACACAGGCTTGTGATGGAAAAGGCCTGGTACCTACATCCTCATCCTCTGTTCCTGCACTAGGACTGCATCACAGGGGCAGCCACTCTTGCCTGTTTTTTTTTCTTTTTTCTTTCTCTCAGGGAACCTGTCCCTACACTTAAGACTCAGCGCAAAAGCATGAGGCAAACAGGAAGTCACACAATTAGAAATTGCCTTTTCTTCCCTTTCTATCACTGATATGCCCAGTAGGGTTTGAATGGGAAAGGAAGTTTGGGTAGACTCAGTAAGGGGGTGCATTGTGTATAGAGAATTTTAAAACAGCCATACAACTGTCTTAGGGTACTTTTCAGTATTACTACACACAGGCAGTTTCAAACAATGACAATGACAACATACCTCTCCCCAATCCTTCTACCACCACTACCATCTCCCTGATTCTTGGAGTCGAAGCTGTGGTCTAGTAAGGGGAACAGGGGCTGTCTCTGACATGAACTCTGTGGCTGGCTCTTTGATCACCTCCTCCTGAGCAGGGAGCAGCCTTCCCAGGCCACAGAGGAAGACACTGCAGCCAGTCCTGATGGGACCTGATAGACTAGGGTCAGATGGAAGGGGAGGAGGACCTCCCCATTAGTGGACTTGGGGAGGGGCATGGGAGGAAATGAGGGAGGGCAGGGTAGGGAGGGGGTGAGAGAGAGGGCTACAGCTGGGTTACAAAGTAAATAAATTGTAATAAATTAAAAAAAAAAAACAAGAACTTGAAGCAATTAAAACAACAACAAAAACCCTGACCTGAGGCCTACTCTTAGTAGTTCCGACAGAAAAAGTCAGTAGCAACAGCCTTCTCTAACTCCATTCCACTCTAACTCCATCCTACCCACCAGCATTAAACATCAAAACAGGAAGAGACAGGCGTATGTGTGAAATGCATGCACCTTGGGGAACATCCTTAGTAGCTCAGGTTCAGTCTTCCTGTCCTAGGACTCAACTGGCTCCTATTTACCCAGTGGGAGAAGGGCAAGCTTGGTGTGGTCCAGCTGCCTTCTGCTGCATCCTTGATGTGTTTTCTACTTCATCCTGAGTCTACTCCGGACAGATGCCTGGTCCCTGTCTTAGAATATTGTTCTATGTTCTCAGAATTCCTTTGTTCTCTTTGTGTGTGTGTGTGTGTGTGTGTGTGTGTGTGTGTGTGTGTGTGTGTGGTATCTGTCTGTCTTTATCTTTGTCTGTCTGTCTTGATCTCTCTCTCTTCATTTATTTGATTGGAGGGTGCATTATATGATTATATGTTTGCTACAGTGTTCCTGTGGAAGTCAGAGGACAACTTGTAGGACTCCATTCTTTTCTTCTATCATGATGGTTCTGTAGACTTAACTTAGGTCTTCAAGCCTGGTAGCAAGTATCTTTGTTGGCTTGCCAGCCTTATGCTGCATTTTTGTCCTAACCATTTGCGGTTATACGGGGTGACAATAACTGATTTTCTACACTGAAAGCTCTGTCATGTATCATGACCCAAAGCAAGCCTTTTATGATCTCCCAAAACATCTCACTACTGTCCCCCACAACTCCATGCTGTCTATTGAGCTGTCTCAGATCGTTCTTCATAGTGCTGGGATTCCGATTTAGATGTGCTCCCAAACAAAGGAACAAACAGCCTAATTGTAGGATTTGTTCTCAGATGGTCATGCAGCCCCAGATCTCAGAGCCAGTATAGCAGGATTAGCAAGTAACAGGAGAAACGTGGATGTCTTGCAGAAATCTCCTTCCGAGTGTGGATGTGTGGAGGCAGCCTGGAGATCATCCCCTGCAGCCGGGTGGGGCACGTCTTCAGGAAAAAGCATCCCTATGTTTTTCCTGATGGAAATGCCAACACATACATAAAGTAAGTGCATTCCTTGGCCCCATGTGTATGGACAGCAGCAAGAAAACGGTGGCCAGGGGTTTGCAATAGATTGTGATGCTCTGCAAGGTGGTCTAAGTGCCCTGGATGACATATGAGTTGCACAGCTGCAGCTTGAACTCTGCCTGGGCAATTGACATTAGTGCTAATCGGAGCCCTACCAAGCCCACCCACGCCTACCTCATTCCCTAGAGCCTCAGTAATTAAAGTCAGATTAAGGTCAGATCCATCCTGCAAGGCTTTGCCTCTAGGTATTTGCAAAAGTTTGGGATGGGAGGGTAGAAACAGCTGGGTAACAGGGAATGATACCTGGGAAGAAGCAAGCCACAGGAAGCTCTGTGGACAAGGTATTCCTGGTAATTACTTTCAGACGAGGTATTCCTGGTAATCCAGCTCCAGAGCCTTTCATCTCCCCTGTATATAACACATACAGAAGAAACCCACCCCTTGCCTGTCTCTCCCTCTCCCTGTCCTTCATTTTCCCAACATTTCTCTTCTTTTAGGTTTTTTTTTTTTCATCAGAATATTCATGTGTTAGCTACTTTTCTTAGTATTAAAAAAAAACAACAACAACTTATATGTACATTGTAGGGGGTGTGGAAAGGTGTACTTGTGAATGCAGGTGACCATTGTGGCCAGGAGAGAGCATGGAACCTGGAACTGAAGTTACAGACAGTTGCGGGCCACCTAATGTGGGTGCTGAGAACCAATCAAATTCAAATCCTCTTTAGGAGCAGTATACACTTACCTGCTGAGGAATTTTACTAGCCCCTGGCTGTCTTAAAAACATTTTTCTCTGACTTTTTCCTTCATTACCTTGATCCTCTCAGCTCTTGATCCTCCAGTTGCCTCACTCATCCATCCAAACTCCTGCTCTCTCTGCCTCTCTCTGTCTCTCTTTTTCTGCTGTTTGGTACATTTGTGTTGGGGATTAGGCTTCACATCCTTTTATTTGGGTTTATTTATTTAAGGTGTTCTTTCTTGATTTATCACACACATATTCGTGGCTCAAAGGAAGCATGGATCTGAACAGTAGTCAAATTCTACATATTGCAAAGCAGGATGCATAAGGAAAGGATCAGTAGGGGGAAAGGCAACAAGCCAGGGAGCATCAGGGTTTTTGTAAATATAAAGAGGTAAGCCAGGGACATCTGGCATAGCAAAGTGGTGCGGTTCTGCAGGAGCCTGGGAGCTGACCTGGGAAGCAGGATCCGTGACTTCAGATATTTGTCCTATTTGAGATTGGGCTTTGGCCAGTGAGCATCCTTGTTGGCCAGTGGTGGCCCATTCTGGTTTGAGAAATGAGGCATACTGTTCGCAAAACAGCTTCTAGCTTGTAGATAGTGAAGCCACTTGCAGGAACCAGCCAGGTGACCCTGTTTCCAGTGCCCCCAAAACCCACTTGCCCATGATTACCTGTCCTTTCAGAAGCTCAGAAGGGGTTGCCATGTTTCTCTGTCAAATGTCTGTGCTCTAAAGTAGACCCAAGGACCTGGAGGAGCAATCTGGTTTTAATTAGATTCCACTTCACTTTCTCCCAGGTGCTCCAGCTGCCCAGATCACCAGCCTTTATTATTTTCTGATCTGTCTTCTTTTGACTCCAGGGATCTTCCTGAAACCCCTTGACTGTTGAATGATCACAGTCATTCCCTCTTCTTCTGCCCCTCCCTCTTCCTTGTTGCCTTTAGGGTCAAATTCAAGCAGATGTCCAATGAGGAGCCTTTGATTGCTAATTGGTTACATGTAACCATTGCCTGTGTGTGCACTAACCTGACCCTTGGGGAGCTGAGTCCTCAGCATGTCCACTGTGGGAAAGTAGAGAAAGGTCCCCTCACCAGGCAGGCCAGAGTTATCTGGTCCTCACAAGTCCCACCTTTGGAGAGCGACAGGCAGCAAATGCTTCTCTTGTCCCCTTTCTGCTTCTTTGTGAGTCACCAAAGCTCAGCCTCTGGTGTGATTTTTTTTTCCTAACTGTACCTTTTGAGGAAAGATTATAGATATTACTAAACTCCTGCGTCTTGGGGTGCCTTTGGAGTTGGGGGACACTCACACGTGCTCTAATGTTCTGATAACAGTAACGTGAACATCTCTGTCCTGGTGACTGCTACCTGGATGCTGCTGCCAACTTTGCCCTCGTGTGTGTATTTCAACCAGGGATGCCCATCGGTGATTCCCAGACAGGCAACCCTTTTGAGACTCCTTCTCTCCCTAGGAACACCAAGCGGACAGCTGAAGTGTGGATGGACGAATACAAACAGTACTACTATGCAGCCCGGCCTTTCGCCCTGGAGCGACCCTTTGGGAAGTAAGTGTGCACTGCTGGAGGAGGGCAGAGAAGGGAGAGGGGCCATCTCATAGGACCATCTCATTAGCTGTCCCCCGAGCCTCTAAGCTCTTCCAGGCCAGGAGCTATGTCCACTCTGCTTTCACATCCCTGTACGCTCTACCCTGTTCTGGGTGTGCATGGCTTCTGCCAGCTCTCCTGTGACCCTGCTCTACTTTAGTAGAGGGAGCTGAGTATAATCTTGCGTGGTGGGTGGGTATTATTAGCTCTTTGCAGAAAGTTGGCATGGAGGGTTGCACCCTCCAGGTTGGAGTTCCCTCCTCTACTTCTCAGTTTCCCCAAGCGGAAGCTCTGCTCCTTCCTTGGAGGCACAGGGGTGGGAGGGAGTGCATGCTCATATGTCAGCAGTCATCAAGATTCCCAGCAGAGGACTTCAGGGGAAGAAGAAGAAAGCTTTATTAAGTGCTCAGTATCGCTCCATGCAGTGGCTCTTTCATCTTCCCTAAGCTCTGAGAGATGCAATTACCTAGCCCTGTTTGACATGGAAGGAGACTGAGGCTTAGGGAGAGGAAAACATACATAGATCACACCTGTAGGGAGGATGAAGGTTCACAACATGCTGATTCCAAAACCATTTGACCTTGCACTTCCCAGCCCTGAGCTGGCTGAAATAAGGAAAAATTACAACTTCCCTCAGTTATTATTTGTGTTTTGGGGTGGTGGTGGTATTTTGTTATGATATTTTGTTCTACTCATTTCACCCACTCACCACATGAGCCCACTGAGCAGATGGGCTTTTGGAGCCTAAACCTCTCCAGTTGAGTCCATCCCTGCACTACAGGATCAAACTACCGAAGCAATTTGCACCTTTGATATTACAGTTCATGCCCACCCTCTAGTTTGCTTGCTCCACCTCAGGACTTTGGGTCCCCTGACCATGTCCCATCAGCCTCATCCTTTACCCACTTCCCTGTCCATCTTTGACTCCTTCTGCTCTTCCTTAAAGTCAGAACTTGGAAAGTTTGGTCCTCTGATCTTTGGCTCTATCATCCACCTAGTAACTCCTTCCCCTACACACAGACACACAGACCCAGAAACAAACCACACACACACACACACACACACACACACACACACACACACACACAC